AAGCAGAATGGTAAGTACAATGGTTGGTGGTCAGTGCAAATGGACTATAATTACGTAAAAATTAAGTTAGTATGAGCATGGGAGTTGTCTATGTTTATAGTAATCCTACTGCAATTGCTATCTCTTGGTACAAGAATTTGATGGTGTAGCCCAGCCGGGCGTGGCTCAGTGGTTGAGCGTCGGCCTAGGATCCAGGCGATCGGGGTTCGATTCCCGGTCAGGGCACATGTCTGGGTTGCGGGCTCGATCGATGACTCTCTCATCATCGATGTTTCTGTCTCTCTCTCTCCTTTCCTCTCTCTGAAATCAATAAAGATATATTTTTTAAAAAGAGAAAAAAAAGAATTTGATGGTGTAAATCAGGGGGGGTCCTACACTAAAACTAGGTTTCCAAGGCTAGCTGAACCCATCCCCAGTTAGATATCCACAGTGGCTCCTGGGTTTCAGAGGACCCTGAAATGGAACCAGAGGCATATTTCAGTGAGATGATTCACCAGATTTTATCATATACACCAAACAAAAAGGCAGGAACAAGGGCCAAATTATGAACTCAGCATTTTCTAGTAGTGCCCTTCTTGGACCAGCACTATCACACCAGTACCATTCTTTTATGTCCACACTCCTGTTCTTATTAAGTGAACCTTGCCTGCCTGGTACTCTTCTCTAAGTCACTTTCAGATTAGAAGAGGAGACTTAATGTGTTAATGGGCTTGGAGGTGGGAGAAAGAGTTCCATGTTCCTCTTCTTCCACTAAACATTGGGAGAGGTTCTCATTTGTACTTATGCATTTGTCCATTGAACAATTACTGAAGACCTCTGTAAAATGAGCCAGGCAGTCTTCCAGGTGCTGAGAGAACAACAGTTTCTGCCCTCACTGTTTACATTCTAAAGTGGGAATGCAAGCAATAAACAAGTAAACACAACACACAATTTCAGGTAGTGATAAGTATGTTAGTAGGGAGAGGGATAGTTTAGATAGGGTGGTCAGTTAAGGCCTTTTTTGAGAAAGTAATGACTGAATAAACGTCTGAATTGAGTGACGCAAACAGGCTAAACAAAGGGGAAGCAAGGGTAGAAGCCTCAAGAAAGGAGGAAGGAGCCTCATGTGTTTCAGGGACAGCAAGAGATGTGTGGCAGGCACAGAAAAGCTAGGCGTAGACTGGCAGGAGATCAGATTGGAAAAGTAGTGCTTGGGCACATGAGAGTCTAATAGATATGGAAAAGAGTCTGGATTTTATTCTAAGTCTGACAGGAACCACTGGAGTAAAATGTATGCACTTTTATTTAATAAACACTGACTTGTGAAAAACAGACTTGGAAGCACTATGACCAACCAGGAGGCTACAGTAGTAGCATAGGCAAAAGAAGACAGTAAAATTGGGCCAGGGTAGAAGGGGAAGGGAGGTGAGAAGAGGCCTTGAGGATAAACTTTGGAAGTAGGGAGAGAGGACTTGCTGACTGTGGGTGTAGAGGGAAAGAGGTATCAAACGTTTAGTACCAACAGAGGGTTTTAAAGTAGGCTGAGTAAATAAATGCCCTGTCATGTTACAAAAATGGTTTTTTGGCGTCTATAGGTACAAGACCTGTGTATTGGGGGAAGGGGTGCCAGGAGGGTTGAAGCAGCTGGTGAGAAGCTTACTGCAATTATGGGCGCACTCAGGAGAGTGACAGGTGCATCTCAGGCCAGGCAGGAGGGCAGACAGTACCCAGAACCTCTGCTTTGGGGAGGAAGGCGTTTTAAAGAAGCCGCAGTTTCTAAGGAACCAGGTCTTCGCAGGCCGGCAGGGGGAAGACGGTCGGAAGATCCCGGTCGCGCATTAAGACCCTCCCCTCATCAAACACCCAAAGCTGGTCCCAAGTTGCCACGGGCAAGCAGAGCCGCAGAAAGGGTTGGGATTTCTGGGAAGCCAGTACCTGACCAGCGACGCCGTTACCTACATGAAACCAGCACCCCCGGTCACCAGGACCCGCTTCGCAAAGCTGCTGGCAGGACCCAAGGAATCCTCCCGACCCGCAGCCGACATTTCCCCTCCAGCAGTGCCTGGCACCGTAAAGCGCCACGTCTCTGTGCTGTAGGGAAGTTCCACCGCGACCTTTTACGACGCGCCCGTTCGCCAGGCTCGTTAACGGGGGGGCAGGCAGCGGCGACTTCCGGAGCGGAGCTGATTCCCCGCCCATTGGAGGGCTGGGCGTTCGGAACCCTCGGGAGCCCTGGCCCCGCAGAGCCACTGCGCAGGCGCCGCTATTGGGTGCGGACGCCGGGCTCGCTAAGAGCGGTGCAGGGTGCCTGGGAAAGTGGGGCCTGGAAGGTTTCCGGGCCAGTGTCGCTAGCATGAATTAGGCTTTCCATAGCTCTCCAGGTGGGCGGAGTTACGAATGATTACCTTTGCATTCTTGCACAACAGCCATCTCCACAGATCACACACCAGTGGCGTTGAGAACTCCCGGGGAGTTATCTTGCAAGGTATAGAGATGGGAGGTTGGAATAGCAAAATGACCTCCTGCTGCTGCTGCTGCTGGTATTATTACAGACAGCGGAAGCTGTTGCAATCATGGTATAGATGTCCCCCGGGTCCTACCCTAAGATCTTTTCCTGCTCTGCCCTAGACCTTGTGCTCCTTGCTTCCCCTGGAATTCACCTGGCATGCTCCTTCCCTTAGGCCTGGCTGTTGTTTCCTCAGATGTCTGCCTGGTACTTACCCTTAGGTCTTCCATTTTCAGCTGGAGCCTCACCCTGTTAGTTCTTTCTTGACCACCCCAATTAAAATAGCAAACTCTACCCCAGCCCTGGTGGACCACTTTACCCTGTGTTTTTCTCCGTAACAGTTAACATTTATGTTGAATTGCTCATTGTTCCTGCTCCATGAGGGCAGGGGCTTTGTTTTCTGATACAATTCCAAAGCCCTAGCTAGGACCAAGCCTGGCACAGAATAAACCGTCAGTAAATATTGTTAAATAGATGAATAAAAATCTTGTGGGTTTTTAAACAATGTGTTGGCAGAGCCTACAAGGAATGAAAATACTCAGTATATGTAGAAGTGTTATTTGTTACAACATTTTGGTAGGCAAATTCAAATGTACGTATCCTATGATCCTCAAATTCCATTATGTATAATATCAGTAATTGCAGGAAAACACAAGCATGTTCTTTGCTCTATTGCTGGTAGTAATGAAAAACTGGACACAATATAAATGTCTACTAATACTGTTGCACTTTTAAAATATAATGGGCTGATATATAGCCTTTTAAAAGAATGTACCAACATGGAATGAGGGCCATATTTATTGTAGTGGATACTTCTGGTTTTATATGACCAGGCTCCCTTACCCTTTATCATCTCCCCAATTTGACCTACTCCAGGTAGGCGCCAGGATGGGCATGTGACTCACCCTAGGCCAATTAAAACCTCTTCCTGGGATCTGGAATTAGACTAAGGTTCTTGGATAGTCTGATTGCTCTTCTTGAACTCTGAGGACCTACAAATTTGGGGCTTGCTCTTGGCCATAACCATTCAAATGAACTAAGAAATCAAAAAGCCTATCTTTAATGAGAGAGAAAATAAGTTGGTAACAAAGAGAAGAAAGACAAGAAACAGAAAAAGAGGCCTCACAGTATTCAAGATCCATATTCTGATTTTTTTCAGGACCAGTTTTATTCCTGTTCTTGGTTTGCAAATACCACATATACTTGCAAAATCATGTCTGAAAGGATCCACCCTAGACTACTAACAAGGGTTAACTTGGGGTATCAGGCATAGGCAAGGAAAGGAGAAAATGAGGACTTACATTTTTACGTCAGACAATTTGGACTGTTTTTTTTTCTAAGCTGCATGAATTCCTTTTATAATTAAAATATAATGTAATTTTTAAAAAAGATCTCAAAACTTTAATACCTCCAGTTTATTCCTGGTCTGCCAGAGATACCAGAAAATGCTGGCTATATGATAGGAAGTGTTCCCTCCAGGTTTCATTTTCTAAAAGGTGAGGTCCATTGTGAGAACTTGCTTATTACGTAATAAAGCTAGTTGTCGAGTGAAAATAATTTATATACATTTATTCATAAAATAATTTTAAGCTTCTGCTCTCATGGAGAAACAGTCTCTGACCAGCTGGAGCTTACAGCATAGTAGGGGATGCAGGTAAGTCAATAAACATTTACAATACCTTGTGGTCAGTGCCTGCGCACGGAAGTAGAGGATTCCTGTTACAAGGCATCTAACACAGACTTGTGAGTTTGAGAAAGGCTTCTAAAAGAGCCTTGGGGAAGAAGAGTAAAGTAGACAAAGGAAGGTGATGCGGGAACTGCATAGTAGAATAAGACAAATATTGCAGCCAGAGGAATCGGCAAGTGCTAAAGGCCCAGAAAGGAGAACTTGGAGGGTTCAGTGAACTGACAGTAAGGATGGAGATTAAAAAGTCCAGAGGTGGAAATTTGAGGCTCGAAAACCATATTCTTAAGAGTGGGTTGTGGACTAAAAGCAACTGAGAACTTTTGTAGGAAAGTGATGCAGTCGTATTGCATTTCCCAAAACTTTATGTGGCTCTAGAGATGGGCTATGCATAGCCCATTGGAGAAAATTAAGACCAGAGGCAGGTCAGTGGCCATAGGCCTGGAGAGGATAGTGGCGGCTGCTTCCTACCATCACTGCCCGGGAGACACGCTACTAAACTGTTAAAATGAGTTGACTAGATGTAGGCCTGTAAGGGGTGGGGGTGTCGCTGTAATTCCCAGCTGTCTGGGCTGCTGGATGATGACTTAATTCAAGTAGACAGGGATCTAGGAGGGGAAAAAAGCCATTGGACATGTTAAGTATCGTTTAGACATTAAAATGGAAACGCCCAGTGGGCCGCACAGGCACCTAGGGCTTTGCTAGAGTTTCCCTCTCTTCGCCACAAATGGTGCTGTCGTGTGTTTTGTTAGTTCTGTCTTGAACCCCACAGGCCTCCGAAAAGCCTTGAGCCCAGGCCGGCGCTCCCACGCATGCGCAGTGGGCAACGAGGGCAATAATTTTTCCGTAACCTGAAGCAACATCCTCCTAATTCTCCATAAAAAAAGGCGGGAACTAGCCAACTGGCTGGGAAGTGATGGGACCTACGCATCTGCACGTCCCGCCCACTTCAGCCTCTGATTGGTGGATGTTCGTGGCTCGTGGCGGAGGCGCCCTCCTCATTGGCTGTCCGTCTCCTGGGCGAGTCGGCAGCACCGGTCCCGCTCCTCCCTCCCCCTTCCCCAGCTGCCGACGTGGGACTGGTGGCCGCTGGTGGTTGGGAGCGGCGGTGTGGGTTCCGAGCGGCGGGTGGGGATGGGGGTGCTGCGGCTGCTGGCAGTGGCCGTCGCGTGCTGCTGGTGGCCGCCGGGCAGCCAGGGTAAGACGCTGCGGGGCAGCTTCAGCAGCGCAGCGGCCCGAGACGCTCAGGGCCAGAGCATCGGCCACTTCGAGTTCCACGGTAGGTGCGGGGGCGGGGAGAGGGATGAAGGCGAGCGGACGTGTCCCGCGGGCAGCGCCCCCGGCCCCGCATAGGGAGACCCGGCACCCGGCGGCCAGGCCCTGAACTTCTCTCAGCTCACCAGGACTTCCCGCGTCGCCGGCCGCCCTCCTCCCACCGCAGCTCACCGGAATCGTGGGATGCGTTTATTGCGAACCCTCCTATTGCTGCTCCCACACCCTCGTCGGCGCCCTCTCCCCTTTTGGTGATTGCATTCTGCACCTAAAAGATCGTTTCTCCAACCCGCCCCATACAAACGTTGTGCAGATGACACACCTGCTCCATTTTTCGAGATCCTTGCCTCACAGAAGCATCAGTTGCTCACGCTGTGTCGACCTGATTATATACGCTAAGGCCCTGTAATTAACGTGTGAGTCTAAGCCCCAGAACGTAGGTTTCTTGGGTTTGTTGTTATTAAGATCAATTCGATAAAAACTACTTGCAACAAAGAGGTTTTGGAAACCAATACAAAACACCTGGTAATTTAGTTGTCACTATTGCTAGAACAGTTTAGTTTCTCTTCTAAAGGAGTAGATTAACTCTGGATCATAAGGCCTAGAATTAACTTGACAGAAAAGCCTGTGTGTCCTGAAAACTTCATACTTTGTATCCTCTCTGGCCCTTCTGAAATCAGAACTGCATTTGATTACCTTCTGGTCTCCTTCAAAAATCAGTAATTCTTCAATTAGTGAATTTGCAATTCATTCTAATTTTTACTATATTTATTTGTACCCTCAAGATTTTTCTTGGGACACACTTGATACTCTTCATTTAACTAGTACTATATTTCAAATCATTATTTCCCTTGATGAGGTTAGTATCCTTGGTTTACATAGTCTTTAGTGTTAAAAGATCAGAATATTATCCTAGAGAGGATTCTTAGAAGATAATAGAAATGTGAAGCTATTTAGTGTGGGAGAGCAGTTTAAAGTATTGAAAAATTACAGAATTGGTGGTTAAAGGTAGGGAAACCTGAATTTTTTTTTAAGCCAAAGTTTTTAAAAGCTGAGAAAAGGAGATGCAACCCAGTTTTCCAAAATCCAATGTGGGATAGATTTTGGGTGAATAAAATAGAAACTCTAGAAACAAAGTTTTATTATTTTTTAGGTACCATTTTAAGTTTCTTAGTCAACAGGCTGTAAATATACTTTGAGTATTGACAATGATAGCAGTATCACTGCAATAAATGGCACAATCTGGACAGTGCTGGAAGGTCTGTTATGTATGGAAGCTATGACATGGTTATTACCTATGTCTAGAGGCAAGACTTAGACAGTCATGATGATTACGTAGTAAACAGAAACTTGTGTAGTAAATCCAAATTTCTCACGAAAGCTTGGAGAATAGAGTGATCCAAGTATTTTAACACTTTCTCTCTCCCTCTCTCTCTCTCTCTCTCTCTCTCTCTCTCTCTCTCTCTCTCTGTGTGTGTGTGTGTATGCANGTAAATCCAAATTTCTCACGAAAGCTTGGAGAATAGAGTGATCCAAGTATTTTAACACTTTCTCTCTCCCTCTCTCTCTCTCTCTCTCTCTCTCTCTCTGTGTGTGTGTATGTAACTGCAACTTTCATCAAATTCAAATTCAGTGAAATAATAGTACTACAACTATACTGAAATAATGAACTGTAATTCAGAATGCAATTTAAGATGTTAAAGTCATTTTTAACTTTTGGTAATTTATAATGTAATCAATTTATATAGAAGACATATACATTCTTTGATACATATTCATATTATACATTTAAATTTATTTAAAATGTTTACTCAAAGTGGTAATTATAACAAAAGTAAAAATAATAAGAGAATATTAAAATGAAAAAGCAATTTCCTTCTCGCCTAGAGTCCATTTCCACAGAGGCAACTATTTTTTGCCATTTACTTATGGGCCTTGACTATAGTTGGTGTGTGCAACCAGGCTCATTATATAGTAGTCTTACAACATATTCTGAAAGCTCTGTTATAAACGTCACATGTCAGATTTTGTGTCAGGTATAATGTCTACCCCAAAACTCATATATTTAAACTTTCTTGCTATTAGCTATGCTTATTAATTTTTTGAGAGAGAGGGAGAGAAACATTGATTGGCTGCCTCATGCATGATTCCCCCCCCCCCCC